AATGCATGTAACACCATCCTTAAGTGATTTGCATGTAGTTCCTCATCTAGGGAGTATACTAGTATGTCATCTATGAACACAATCACGAATAAATCCATAAATGGCTTAAAGATTCTATTCATGAGGTCCATAAATACTGTAAGGGGCATTTGTCAAACCAAAGGGCATCACTACAAACTCATAATGCCCGTATCTGATACTGAAAGCAGTCTTTGCAACATCTTCCTCTCTAATCCTGAGCTGGTGATACCTTGACCTCAAATCAATCTTGGAAAACACTGAGGCACCTTCCAACTGATCAAGTAAATTATCTATCCTTGGGAGAGGATACTTATTCTTCACTGTTAACTTGTTCAGCTCTCTGTAATCTATACAGAGTCTTAGGCTTCCATCCTTCTTCTTCACAAACAGTACAGGAGCACCCCAAGAAGAGGTACTTGGCCTGATGAAACCCTTCTCAAGCAGCTCTTGTAGTTGCTCCTTCAACTCCTTAAGCTCCTTAATTGCCATTCTGTAAGGAGCCTTAGCAACAGGTAGATCATCTGAAAATACTTATGGAAATTCCTGAACAATAGGAATGTCCTTCAACTCTCTTTCTTCTTTCTTCTCCTCCTTAACATAGGCCAAAAAGCCTTCACAATCTTTCTTTAACATCTAAAAAGCCTTTAAGGATGACACAATCACTGCAGTTACTCCCTTATCCCCTTTAAATTCAAACTTCTCATCTCCTGGCATACAGAACTTAACCTCTTTTTTGTTACAATCTATAGTCACGAAATGACAAGATAACAAATCCATGCCTAAGATTGCATCAAACTCAGATAGAGGTAAGACAATCAGATCAGCCTCAAAGTTCTTATCACAAATCCTCAAACTCACTTGACATCTCTGCTTAGCTTTCATGTGACTTCCATTAGGCATCAAAACTGACAGTGATTTAATCATAACTGTAGGAAGCAATTTAGCAGATCTAACAAACTCTTCAGACACAAAGGAGTGTGACGCTCCAGTATCAAACAGAATTCTAATGGGTCTATCACACATAAAGATTGTCCCTAATCATAAACAAGTACAGCATTCATTTACAAAATATGTCATTCATTAATTATTCATTTCATTTTCATTCATTGTTCATTTCATGTCATAAAAAAAATTATTCATTGCAATTAATTAAATTACGTACCAGTAACCACATCAGGAGATCCCTTAGCTTCTTGCTGGGACAATCCATGACTCGTGGTTGAACATTCTGACGAGACTGACCTTGAGAAGGCACAGAAGCAGTAGACTCCACAGCTTTTAGTCTTGCCTGACCTCACCTCTGAAGTAGATCTCTGTCCCAAAAGAGGATAAGACTTCGCCATGTGCCTAAGTTGATGGCACCATTAACAAGTATTAGTGCCTGAGAGACACTCTCCCTTATGCATTCTCCCACACTTACTGCACAAAATAGCAGTTGAAGCACTGCTGTCAGAACCACTGGACCTGGGCTTCTTCCAAGTAGAAACCCCTGACTAAGAAGACTGGGCAAATTGGGAAGGTTTTGACCTGCCCTCCATTTTCCTCTTCTGAGTTGCTTGCATGTCCATCTCGATCCTTCTGGCTCTTTCCACCAAAGTGGGATAATCCTCAATTTCAAAAGGCACAAGAGGCTGCCTTATCACATCCTTCAATCCATTCAGAAAACGGTAGCACTTCTCCTCAGCATTGGGAATCAGGTGAGGGGCATACCTGGACAACATTATAAACTCCGCCTCATACTGAGAAACAGATCGATCTACTTGAATCAATCTGTTGAACTTATCCTGCATCTGTCTCCTGGTTGTCATAGGTACATACCAGCCTCTAAATACATTCACAAATTCTTCCCAGGAGACTTGGTTGCTTGGTCTTCCTCCAAAAGTTTCTTCTAGCTGACTCCTCCGCCACCTCTTAGCTTCGCCATCAAAAGCATAAGCAGCCAGTGTAACTCTCCTATCCTCTGGGCAAGACATGCCCTCAAGGATATTCTCAATCCGCATTAGCTAGTCCTCAGCCTCTATAGGTCTGCCACCTGAAAACAGCGGAGGCTTTATATCCTGAAACAGCTTCAGGTTCTTATCCATAGGTCGGCCTCCACTTCCACTGCCACTACTATGATTTTGGGAAGTCCTAATCATCTGAGTCATCGCTTCCATTATCTGAGCGAATGACTCCATAGTGTTGATCCTTTGAGGTTATGCTACTTCTGGTAGCTCCATCCCTTCCTCCATATTAATGCCATCAGTGGCATTCTGCTCAGGATCCATGTTCCTGAGATAAAACACATCAATCATAAGACACATAATTCATAAAATTACACTTCATACACATTCTAAGACTAAATCAATCATCATATAGGCTCTTTCATTGATCATTACTAAACCTTTGCTCTGATACCACTTGTCACGACCCGGCCCGGCTAGCCCGTTGATAATTGGATGGGAACAGTCGGTCGTACGGAAGAGCATATAAAAACATAATCCAATTCATTATATATTTAACATTAGTATATAAATGTCATCCAACATTAAAAGAAAGAATCACTAAAAGACATCAAACTCAACTATTTCAAACTGTTCAACTCATATAATTACTAAAAACTTTAAACCATCAACATTACATAAGCTCTCACAATTACATAAACTCTAAACTCAAACTTAAACTCACAAACTACACATGAACAAACTCAAAGACTCAAACTGAAATCATAAAAAGGAACCTTTCATCCTGAGGTCCCCTACGACGATATGTATAAGATCGTCGAGCAGCCATTACTTCTCTACTGAAAAACATTTTTTTTAAAAAAAAAGAATGAGCCAACGCTCAGTAGGTAATTCATATCTAAATTAATTTCATAAGATGCATAAATAAAACATTTTATAATTAGAAACTAATTCATATTATTTTACAAGTCAAAATTTTTAAAACTGTCAATCTTACTTTTCTTTAATCATTTCATTAACATTTCATTCATTTCATAATTCTTTTCTTTCATCTTTTTCATATGCAGTGCAGGTGCAAAAATGCTTATGTCATATGTATACACCTATCCCGGAAGTACCCTCATTCGTACTAATCAGGTACGCAGTCAAAATTTTTTTGGTCATTTCCTTTACCATTTGGGTTTTTGCAAGCCCCATTACCATTTGGCTTTTGCAAGCCCTTTACTATTTGGCTTTGGCAAGCCTCATTACCATTTGTTGGGCACTTCCGGATCAACATGCACATGAAAATTTTATTCCATTTAAATCTTTTTATTTATGTTCAATTTTCTTTCATAAGTCTCATATATTTTCATGCTCAAATGATTTTCATATGGTTCATATGTTTTTCAACAATTAATGTATAATATAAAGACACGAACTTGCAGAATCATTGAATTTAAAACATTAATTAACAATAAAAATAAATACATGAAATTTCATTTAAGCATAAAAATTTTTAAAGCACTTATAAACTTAACTGGGGTCTGAACACCTACCTTATCGTTTTCAAAGTATAATTCTACTACATACGACGTCGCTCCAACACTTGTCGCTCCTCTAAACAGTCAGCACCTAACATTATTTAAAAGATTCATGTTACAAAACACAACACTAAAATTTTGTTAAATTTAATTAATATTTTCGGATTTAATAAATACCTAAATTATTTTTGGGAGAAAAGCATTATTGTAAAAACCCTAAAATTTTGATCTCAAATAACTTGAGATTTAGGTAGTTTCGTTCTAAAATAATCATACCTGAGTGTTTCTCTCGTCGTCCTCTTCGATTTGACCTAAAACTCTCGCCGGAAAATCGTTGCTGGAGACACCCTCGTGGAACCCGTCCGTCCGCCCGTTCCTTTGCTCTGTTTCGGTCGTTCGCATGAAATGAGAGGGGAAAGAGGGCTCGATTGTCTATAATAGGAAGAATAGGGAAATGCTAAAAGACCAATTTGCCCTTAAATAATTCCGGCAATTCAATTGATTAGGGGTAAAATCGGTATTTAGAGACTTCAAACATTTTTAATTCCATATTTAGGCAAAAATTGGGCATATGTGTTATATATTAAAACGATCAGAATTTCGCGTAGGATTTTCTAAAATTATTATTGCTAAATTCCGTTAACGTTGAAAATTTTACTTAAATCTCGTCGCGGCGCTTTGAAAAGCGTGCGAGGTCTAAAACAAAAATTTTCGGGTTTTACAAATTGAATACATAGAGTATAATTTTAGTAGTAATAGATCTAGTGGGTGGACTGTAACTTTGGGCAATCAAGTCATTAAAAAAGAATATGCTAAAAGTGATGGTGAAATAGATGAGGTTATATTAGTAGAATTCAAGTTGGATGGTTGAAGTGGAAGAATGCATCGGGTCTGTTGTGTGATAGAAAAGTACTCCTTAAACTTAAGAAAATATTCTATAAGATGGTGGTGAGACCTACAATATTTTATGGCGCAGAATGTTGGCCATTAAAAGAGAAGTATAAAATTAAGTTAAGTGTCACAAATATGAGGATGCTCAGGTGTATGAGTGACTTTACTTTTAGAGATATAATACGGAATGAGTATTTACATGAAAAGGTTGGAGTAGCTCTAGTGGCAGATAAAATTAGAGAGAGTCACCTCAGATGGTTTGGTCACATAAAATGTCGGCCTTCCGATGACTCAGTTAGGAGAGTAGATGTATTAGATATGACCTATGTTAAGAAAGGCAGAGGTAGATCTAAAAATACTTGGTTAGAAAATATTAGAAATATTTTTTTTATTAGAATTAAATAAATATTTGACTCTTAATAGGACAATGGAGAAAAAAGGATTCATATTGATGACCCCACATAGTGGGATAAAGGCTTGATGTTGTTGTTGTTATGCTAGCTGGGAGGGATTAACTTGGAGGAATATCCCAAAATTCTATATCATTTGTCGTAATTTCCTGCTTGCTCGAATTCTATGTTTGCTATAATCTTGTAATGCTGTTTGCATCACCTCAGTGCAGGATTGGGCTGATATGTTGTTAAGAATGTACGTAAGATGGGGAGAAAAACAGGGTTACAAAAGTAGAGTAGTTGAGAAATCTGCGGGAGACGAAGCTGGGATCAAGTCAGCCACAATTGAAATTGATGGGCGTTTTGCTTATGGATACCTCTCTGGGGAGAAAGGAACACACCGAATTGTTCGTCAATCTCCATTTAATGCTAAAGGTCTTCGCCAGGTATGTTAAGTTCATACCTTGTGTTAAATCTTCTAAGAAAGAGAATGCTCAATTATATTGTACATGTTACTTGTAGACAAGCTTTGCTGGTGTGGAGGTCATGCCGCTTCTTCGTGAAGGATCCATAAACCTTGACATACCAGAAGAAGACCTGGAGATAAGCTTCTCTCGAGCAGGAGGAAAAGGAGGCCAGAATGTGAATAAGGTTGAAACTGCTGTTCGGATTGTTCATATTCCAACTGGTGTTACTGTCCGCTGCACAGGTACATGTGTGGACGAAAATGACTTTTGTTCAATGCTATTGTAATTTTCTTTTTGTTAATTAGTATATTTTTCATTAAGCCAACACACTTTCAAAAATCTAGAATTAACTACTTATGATAAATAGGTAATTTTGGAGTTGATTAAGTATATGGGATGCATCTCAAATTTCACTTTAGAGGCTTTTATTTGGTTAGGTTCATTGTTTTGAATAAGATAAAGTTTTTGTTAGTTAATTATCACTTCTAGACGGAGCAAATATCTGACGAGTTCCTGTAAAATAAATTCTGACTGATGTCTTAATTCATTATAATTGTATCTTACTTATTTGGTGGAGGTAATTTGGTGTATGGTCCGGGGAATAAGCTTTTTCAAGTTCTCAATTTTCTGTTATCCAGGGCTATTTGTATTGAATTTTAGTCATTGGTATTGGGGAGCATGGCTATGAGTTGCATCATTTCTTTCTAGGAGTCTCATCCAATAAGCTTTCTACTATGTTTGTGATTGAGGTTTGATTATCCTTCTTTGGCACGGCTTCTGAAAAATACTCATTCTAGAATGGAACTTGAGACCAAGGTTTTTGAGCTTGCTTTCAGTTTTGATCCATCACAGAAGTTTTGCTAGTTTTGCTGTTTTTGACATTCAGTTTCACTAGTAGGTTGGTTTTCTTTTTTATTTTTACAAATATCATTAAAATATAAAAAATAACTTTTCAATATAATTTATAGATGATTTTTAGCTTAACAATATTCTATTTTTCGTGTAGCTTTAGTTGAGTTTTAGTAGTTTTGGCCAAGTTAGGTTATTATGGCTCTATTGTTGTCTCATTATTATGTATAATTCACTAAAGGTTCCCTTTATTTTTAAGAAATGAGCGAGTCACCATTCCAAGGTACAATAAAATAAATATACACCACTCATTAGGAATACCAATCGGTTTGCAGCCTAGAAAACCAATTTCTGTAAGAAGAATAGTATAATATTTTCAAGATTTGCCAAGACGGAAACAGAATCCTGGATATATTGGCACATTTGAGATTATTGAAAGAGTAGAATGGTGGCTTATATATTAGCATAACATGCAGACATGTTTGATGTACACAATATTTTTTATGTATCAATGCGCAGAAAATGAGTTAGAAATGAAAAATCAGGGAGTCCCGCAAGATGAAATTGAGCTACTGAGTAATTTGACATATATGGAGAAGCCTCAAAAGATATTAGAGATTGATTTTTGTAAATTGTGAATTAGAACAATTTCTTATGTGAAAGTGCAATAGAAGCACAAATCATTTAAAGAGACTACATGAGAAAAAGATATAGATATGAGATAAAAGTTCCCTCACCTATTTGAGAAAATATAGAAAGATGAATTTCGGGGACAAAATTCTAATGAGGGAAAAATTGTAATAGCTAATTTTTATAAGGTAAAAATACTTTTTTTTTTCTTAATTAAAATATTAACTTTCATAAAATCATTAAAAAATCATTTTGTTGTGTTCTACTAATCAATTGGAGCATATTGGTATGTAGAACTGTATGTTAAATTGTAAAGGTTTGAATGTTATTGAATTAGTTTTGAATTTTAAATCTGCTTTACTGTTCAACTATAGAAGTTACTGTAGCGGGATAGTGAATTAAGGATGGAAATTCCACTTAAAATGGCATGCACTGGTGGAGGCTTTGGGTATAATGGGAATTATGTATTAACTAAAGCCTTTAAAAGTCTGCTTAACCGAAGCCTCATTCTGAGTTGGAATGCTCGGTTTGACTTCTGTTGAGGGCTGGAGCGGAGAATGTCGTAAGGTTGAGGTGAGAAATTCGGTGGAGCAGGAAGAAGAGAAAAAGGGAGAAGAAGAAGAAGTAAGAAATGTAAGTTTGGTAGATTTTTTTTTTTAATTTATGTAAAAGTTCCTAATTTAGATTATGTCCAAATGTTATTTAGGAGTTTTTGGCATATGAGGAAAAGAAATTTTGAGGTAAAATATTATTTTAGACTATATAGATTTTATTCATATTATTAGAAAAATGAATTGTACTAATTATAGAAATTGAGAAGTGTGGATTGTGTAGCTGATTTACAAGGGTAAAAGGTTATGAGGAGTTGGAATTGAAGAAGCAACTCACCGCGGTGGTAAGATATGCAATTTTATTAATATAGTAATCTATTGCATACGTGTAATTTTAATTAGTTGTGTAATATTGATTTCTACAATATACATTTGTAATTAGCCTAAAATTGTGATTTAGGTAATTATGTCATATATAATTAGCCATATATGATGATTCTATTATATTATGCGATTATGTGCACATCTATTATGTTGTATCCTGTGATAGGTAATTCGTAGTCATACTTGCCTGTATGTTGATACACCAGATTTTTTTATATCTAAATTTCTTGTATATGCATGGCAATATATGTAGGCAAATGTCACACAATTTGAAAGGGAAAATACAGTGATAATAAATGCCTGAGAATGTGTCATGTGAGGTGGTATGTGAATAGTGCAAAGCGACCCTAATGGGCAGTGGATCTAATAGAGGCAGTGCGACCTTGATCTGATATGAATCATACGGGCTATAATATAAAGCCTACGAGCGATAGAGGCTGTGCAATCTCAAAATATGACATGAGACCTACGGGCGATAGAGGCAGTTCGTCCTCAAGTGCCTATAGGATGTTGACTTAAATCTAACCATGTGGACATGACACTTTTTAAGGTTGGAAAAAGAAGTTATTTGATGAATTGAAATGTATGATTTACCCATTGAATGCATTTGGCATCATCGATAATGTTGGTAGTATGTGACATGGGCCGATGATATTGGCATGATGAGATATACTCGAATTGTTGTGCGACATTATTTTTATATGTTTAATGATTCCATACTATGCATATTTCCTTTTTAAATGGGTACATGCAATTCTTACTTATGCCTGTTGATACTCCGGTTAGTATTGTGTTTCACATACTTGAATATTGTATTAGGGTTGAATACTTTTTTGAGCTCATAGCTCACCAAATTTTTATTATGATTATTATTACAGGGAAGTGCAATGATAATATATAAAAGCTGACTAACTTAGGCTAAATTGTATTATGAGATGAGTCCCGAGTAGAGATATGCGAACTATTGTTATAAAATGTTTTTGGGTGGTTAGTTGCTTTGTAAGTATAACTTATGATATAAAGGAAAGATTTTAAATGCTTCTGTTTTATAAAGGAATGTAACAAAAATATTAAATTTGACATGATTTTGAGCCTTGAAAATTAGGTATTATATGATTTCTTTATTGCAGCCTATTTGGTTGGGGGTCGACGTTGGGCGTGACAATTTGAATTTAAAACTTAGGACAAACCAGTAGAGATAGCTATAATGGATCTAATGAAAGTGATGATATCGAATGCTACGTGGGATGTTTGAGATTGTTGAAACAATCGATCATAGTTTTCTTGAGAGATAATAGAGATGGATATGGACATACCATAAGGAGTTGGTAGGGGTATCACCAATTGTCGAAACTAGTTGGAAAGTGGAGGGATACTCAAACTTTTTCTAGTAATATTTAAAAGGATGTTTTGTTAGACTCTGTTGTAAGTCTAAGGAGAAAGGCAGTACGACTTCCAACACAACCGCGACTAGTTCATACACCATCTCCAAGAGTTCATGACCACTCATAGAGCCAACAACCAAGGAAAAATTAGTTAGGAGTTGGGGATTGAGGAGTTGAGAGCTCAGTCCAGTGGTTAAATTGTATTATGAGATGAGTCCGGAGCAGAGGTATGTGAACTATTATTAGAAAATTTTTTTGGGTGGTTAGTTGCTCTGTAAGTATAACTTGTGATATAAAAAAATATTTTAAATGCTTCTGTTTTATAAAGGAATGTGACAAAAATATTAAACTTGACAGGATTTTGATCCTTGAATATTAGGAATTATATGATTTTCTCTGTTGCATCCTAACATTATTTGGTCAGGGGTTAGGGGTCGACGTTGGGCGTGACAATTTGAATTTAAAACTTAGGACAACCAGTAGAGATAGCTATAATGGATCTAATGAAAGTAATGATATGGAATGCTACGTGGGTGTTGACGAATATTTCGCACCGACTCGACCCCGATCGAGCCCGACTAGGCTTGATCGCGCTCGATCAACTCGATCGATCGACGTCGAGACAAAATCGACTCAAATTAGACTCCAATTTAATTAAATTAAATCAATTTAATTAAATTAAAATTAAATCAAATCAATTAAGAGAACTAAAAAGAAAGAGAAAAACTTCTATCACAAGAGATAATTTATATTATTAAATTTGATTGTGGTACCAATGGTAGTGGGGTTTGAGTCATTAAGATGAGGTCAAAAGGCCATGACAACATGATAGGGAGACTCGTAATCCGATGGTTAACGCAAATAATTAATAACAATAGATGAGTGTTGCATGAAGTATTCGTTCCCTATGATAGTGAATAAATGACAGGACGTGTAATAGGTGACTGAATTTTGTGATGCAGCAAGCGAACATAGTTGTGAAAGTGCATCAAGTAGGCATAGGAGTGCCCGCATGGTAATGGCACATGGGTGGCATGCCACTTGGCTACACATGGGAAGGAGACACACTATGTGGAGGTTTGCATAAGTGAGATTGGTCATTAGTGGGTGGGATCATAAAAGGGAGGTCCAGTCATTAGTCGTATTGTAAGTGTGAAGTTGAGTTGTCGGTTGAATAAAAGGAAAGTGGTGAGGTTTGCGGATGGAGGGAGAGAAGGGGAGCGGTTGAGGTTTTGTAACCTCATTCTAATACCATAATGGAGTGGGAAGCTCTTTTTTGTATTATTCACTAGAGGACTTCTTTATTATAAATAGAGGAACAAGCACAACGTTCTATTGTAGAACTAAGCATACAACACCCACAAAATATGCTCCTTCAGTAGTTTAGATCATTTTCGATAGTTCTAGCTAAATCAACCTGAAGTTTTCAAAATACCAAATCACCTTTGAGATACTGTGCCACTACCTCATTAGTTTGTTTATGGTGGTTTGGGCCTTGACAAACTTTTTTTGTGTATATTTGGTTTCTTTACATGATTTTTTGTATGGAATTGATGTGGGTGTTGGAAAATGTTTTGGGTCACTAGTTTGATTATCATCAAACTAATTCAATTGAAATGATATAATTCAAAACTATGTTTGGAGTGAGTTGTGGGATCTATTAATTAGTTTAGAATCATTCGTGACCTAATTTGGCTAAGTCAATTATTTTGGTTTATAGTCAATTAGAATTGCCAAGTTATTTGTTTTAATTGGGTTACTTTGAGGATGATCAGGTAATTTCTAGCGACAAGGTTAATTACCTTGGAACTAAATTGTTTAATTTCAACTCAACTACTTTGATTTATGGTTAATGATATTGAACGAAGTTATGTCGGGCTTTGTTTGTTTAATTTAGAGTTATTTGAGGAAAAAATAAGTATTTTGTAGTATAACAATTCTATTTAAAGTTAATTAGGATTGAACAAGGTTAATTTGGGTGAAACTTATTGATTTACGGTTAACTTGGATTGAATCATATTATTGAAAAATAAATTCTTTTATTTATCGTTAACCAAGGTCAAATCGAGTCGAAATGGAATATCCAATTTAATTTTGGGTATATGACACATCAATCATGATTTGATCATGATGAGAATTATGATATTTTCAATAGATGTAGCATAAAAGCTAAGAGTATTAGCATTATTTATGTCAATCTTAAACAAAATTATAAGAATTACGCGAATTTTGGGGTTAATTCCAATTTGTTTGTTGGCAGTTACTAGAACTTTTCTAACAAAAATGAGGACTAAACATGGGGAAGGAGGGAATCTAAAATGCGAGGTTATGGAATTTTACTTTATTGGGAAAAGTTCAAAGTTTATGCAAATGATTCGATAGAATTGGCTCATCATTTGACCTCCTATAAGCTCAGGTGGAGTCTCAATGCTATAGGAGAAGCTACATTTCAGTAGCACTAGTAAAATTATATCGCAAGGCCGAAAAAGTGCTTGGTGTAAATGAATGGTCTTATTTAACTTGTAGCTGTTAGGTAATATAGAGTACAAATGCTAATTTCTAGGTGAGGGTCAATTTCCACGTGAAGTTGCTTGCCAATTTTCTCAAAGCTAGCCGAATTCTGGCGAGTAGCTGTGGAATCTTGTGCGAGTTGTCTTGCTGAGTTATGTGAATAGCTTTGACGACTTGAGTGACTAGAATGGTTTTTCCCTATCTTCAGATGGAGTATGATCAAATTGATAGTTTTGAACGATTGAAGTCAATTGCCAGTTCATCACGTTTTTTTTTTCTTTGCATCTTTCACTTATAGATCCTTCCTGACTAACTAGCTTTGAATCTGGTAAATGATTTTTAGCAAAACTGGTTATCTCTACCTGGGCGATATTTGGGTGTACAATTGGATTAACAGAATCTTATTAACTGTAATATGTAATCAATAAATGGAAACACAACAACAACAACAACCTTTATCCCAATATGTGGGGTCGGCTACATGAATCTTTTTTCTCCATTGTGTCCTATTAAAAGTCAAATTCTTGTTTAAATCTAAAAAAAAAGGTAATTCCTAATATTTTCTAACCAAGTCTTTTTAGGTCCGCCTCTACCTTTTTTAACATAAGTTAAATATAATATCTCTACTCTCCTAACCGGGTCATCGGGAGGCCGCCGTTTTATGTGACCAAACCATCTAAGGCGACTCTCTCTAATCTTATCTTCTACTGAAACTACTCTCAAGAGCATGATCCAACATCCCATGTATTGTTAAAATATGTTATTCCAAGTACCAACTGTTTTGGATCAATAGCTAATGTTACTAGCAACTGAGGCACTTACTTTCTGTTCCCCAGAGGAGAGGTCTCAGCTGGCTAACAAGATCAAGGCTCTCAGCCGTCTAAAGGCAAAGTTGCTTGTCATAGCTGAAGAACAGAGAGCAGCCGAGATAAAACAGATAAGAGGTGATGCTGTGAAGGCCGAATGGGGGCAACAGATAAGAAACTACGTTTTTCACCCTTACAAACTTGTGAAAGATGTGAGGACTGGGAACGAGACTTCTGATATCACTTCTGTAATGGATGGAGATTTGGAGTCTTTCATCAAAGCTTACCTTAAATACAAGTACAGTGCAGTTGCGAGCGAAGGGAGCACAATTTGATTCAAGTGAGCCGAGTTGTACTGTTCAGAAAATGGTCAAGTAGTTTCAAGCAGTGTGCTCACGATTTGGACTTTGAGTTGCCATAGAAAAGTATTTAGAATTGAAATGCTTTAGTGAGCTGTTGTTTCTCCTAGAAAATTTGAAGGGCGGAATAGGAGGATGTATCAGTATTGTTTTCGGACTCATCATCAGATTCGACTCCGGTTAATTACTTGATACAAATTTATGTATAATATAAGTGTAATCATATACTTGCAGATTGAGATGATTCTTACAATGTAATCTTTTTCTTTTTCTTTTTTTTATGGTGGATCTGTTTGATCATTTTCATTTTTTAAATGTAAATCTCTCTAATAGCTATGGATTCTTATAAAGATTTTGTTTAGAACTTCAGAATAAGATCAATATTTCGTTGTTGAGGAGGAAAATTCTTCCTCTAAGATGGTTTAAACATCATGATATTTATTTCTAAAAATGTGGCAAATTAAATCCGTCTATAAACATAGAGGATTAGGTTTATCTTAGAAATTAAACCCGAAATGAGAAAAAGATCTCACGGTGCAGGCAAAATGATCTCTATTTCATCCTTTCAATGTAATGATCTAGAAGATATTAATGACCTCAATAGTATCCCTTCTGAATTCATCGCTGAAGTCGTTAATGCACCTCTAGATTTATGTGCTCATTGAGATCAATTTCGGTATTAAGGGTATGTTTGGAACGGCTTTCGCACTGCTGCTTAAAGCAGTTTTCGTACTGCTAATTAAATTTTTTTATTAAAAAATTACTTTAGGAAGCAGTAAGAAAGTCGTTCCAAATGAAGTCTAAAAGATGATCCTTGACCTATTTTTATTGGAAAATTAACAGCTTTTTGAAAATTTATCTTTGTAAATAATTCATGTTTTAAGGGACTATTGAGACTTTTTTTTCTTAAGGGTTATTTTGAAATGCTTGATTTGGCTCATAATCTCATACTTTTGGTTAATCCTGGCTTCTCACCTATGAAGAATGCACACGGAAGAATGCATCCTGACATTAAGAATTGGCCTTATCTGAAAATGGAAAGGTGATATTTGGGTCTATATTTAATTCAGAGACTTGATACATTATGCCTAAACAGTGAGTTCTCTTTGCTTAGACCATCTCCAACCGTTCGGCAAACAGCCGAATGGAGGCCCTCAAACGTCGCAACCGAACGCCATTTTTTCCGCCATTTGATTGCAGTTGAACAGTGCAACGTCAATATTGGCGTCCCACTGTTCACTTGCGCCATTTCTTTCTCTCTATCGAACTCGTCTGAGAAAGGC